GTGAATCCTCTCACTGCCCCTGTACCTCTGGCCTGTACCCCAATTCTGTATGCATAAGTAAATCTTTAAACAAACAAAAGAAGATGTATTTGGTAGGCATCTTGAAGAATTTTCCTAATATAGCAATAATACTTTGACTTAACAGAAAAAAAGAAGCCCTCACTATTACAGTATTTTGGAAAGGCTCCATGGTTTAAATTATTCTTGAACTAGGCAAAAATCACCAAAATAATACTATGTTAAAATATTAGCCCTGGGACCTCCCTAGTGGTGCAAAGGGTTATGTCTCAGTACTATGAAGCTATCAATAGCCACTGCAGCACAAGTTTAATCCCTGGTTGGCCAGGGAGTTGACCCTCATGATGCAGCAGACTTCTATCTCATCCACTGCTCCCCTTAGCAGTGTACTGTTCACTACATATGCCTTTTTTGTTCTCCACTCTGTCTCTGGTGACTCACTCCCTCACCTCTGGGCCTACATCCCAATCCTTGTATGCACAAATAAATCTTTAAAAAAGTAGATAAATACTTAGTCCCATCGGTATTTCTTACACTGTGATTCACAAAATGAGACACATTTCCATAGCGAGCTGCATCTACTGTGAATTCATCAGATTCATAGTCCAGATCAAAGAGATACGTGATTCCTTTGTTGTCATATAACTGCCCCCGTCTTTCAGCTTCTTCACTTGTGATCACCTAAAAAGAAAAAACTGTATTAAAGTTATTGCTGAACTGAAGAAACATTCATTCATAAATTCATTAACATACAAATGTTTAAAAAGTAAGAAATTCAAGTGCCATCAAAACAAACACATAGATTTGAAGGACAAGACAAACAGGTAAGAAAACAAAGGGAGGAGAAACGTGATGCAACTGTTTAGGCACTGAGACAATCCAGCCATTAAGTTGAAACCATTATAATTTATTGAGACATTCAATAAGCTATATAACTACAGCTCTCTGTAAAACACAACTGAATGTAAAAGACTAAATTTTTCCTGTAACTAATTTGTATGCAGTTATTAATGGAAGGTTATATAAATGTAGGATATTTGTATGTTAAATTTGTAGTCAACTGTTTGGAAAGCTACGTTTTATATAACGGGCTGTTTTTCATCAAATTCTGAGCTCACAACCATCATCTCTACAGTTCTGCTCATAGCTTTACCAAGTGCTTAGCTTAAGAAACCAAAATAAATTATGATATCAATGAAGGTGAGCTGCTGCATTAGCAAAAAAAAAAAAAAAAAAAGGGGGGGTGGAACAGGGATAACTTGATTATATAATTTCTAGTATCCTGAATGATTAGTAACCTGCCATTGTCTAAAAGTGTAAGGATTAAAACAAGCCTAATTTAATCTCAGAATTCTAGACTAATCACATATAGATGATACAATTTCAAACAACTTTTTAAATCAGTCAGATGTGACAACCCTATATGATGCACTCACACTTGTAGTTTTCCTAGTCACAGCTTCACTTACCATTCAGTTTGAGGCAGAGTTGTACAGGGACAGAACACACTAATTCTGGAGCCTTGGTTTTAAACCTTGGCTCTTTAGTTCTCTGTGATCTTGGGCAACTTGTACAATTTTCTTTGCCTCAGTTTATCTGTGATATTAGGGACAATAGTGCCACCTCAAGTTATTGAGAGAACTGAGTTAATATATAATGTGCTTAAAATAGTATGTTGTACATAATAAATACTATTTTAAAAAGTATGTATAGTACTTGTGTCATTAGTAGTCCTAATTTAGAGAACTGTAAAGTTATAGAAAACAAAAGTTTGGATTTTTTTATGGATGCAACAAATGTACATGTTTTATAATATGTATTCAGAATTGGTCTACTTCATAATATCATTCATGTTGATACAAAATTGATTGTTGCCAATTATATTTACTCATTATTTAGACTAATGGATGAAGTAAATGACAATTTAAAAGTTTCAAAATCAGCAAGTATTAGATATGATTTTCTTCTTAGGACTTTTGTGTAAAAATAGCCGCCATATTTTAAAATTTACAAATGCCAGTTTCAATGACTATGAATTAACGTTTCTTGAAAGATGACTATATCAATTTCACTTATTTTTTTTTGTTCTTACTCAAAATTATGCCAGTGGACCCTTCCATTACCATTATATTTCAAATCTGAAATGTCTACTTACAAATGATAAAGTTTAACATATATTTGTTACCAAGATAAAATGGGCACTTTCAAAAGCTTAAACCTTAGGTGCACATTGTTATATGGTAAATTGAACATACCTCTCCAACGTATTCCATAACAAAACTCATTCTTTTAATCTTCACAAGAGTTTTTACACCCCAGCCACAGCCATTGCTAGTTCGAAAGATGCAAAGTGAATATGGTGTGCCTTTTTGTACAATCCTATTGGGACAATCTGGCCCACACTGACACCTTGAGTTGCATTCATAAATGGGGGTACCAGGTGGGATTTTAATTTGTTGATTTTTATTATAAGCCAAAAGAACTCCAGCTTCTGCAGGACAACATTTCTCAAAGAAGCAATCTGTGCATGAACAGCCAAAAGTAGCTTCGTTTACTAAGCTGATTCCAGGAGCTGGTTTATATTCATTTATGTAGAAGAAGTCTGAAGGTGGGCCCTCCAAGTCCACAGTATTCTCAACAAAAATCATTCCTTTATGATTCTTTCTTCTGTTGAGTTCATCTTGCCATCTCTGCAGAGCTATCCTTTGTTTAGCCTTCTTTACAATGTATTCAGCAATGGCAGGCCTCAAAGCCTTGTTATTGTCTTTTAGTGTTATTGCTTTGCCTTTCTTTACCTGAGATAAATAATTATGCTTGTCTTTAGAGAACTGCTGAAGGAGTAATGGGCACTTGAGATTTTGCAAAGGTTCCCAAGTATTTGTAGAATCTGGCCATCCTTTCCATTTTACAAGATAATATTCCATATCCTTAAAATATAAAAGAAAATGCAAATCAGATTACAATAATTATTTTAAATAATTTAATATCTAAAGAGTAAGGTATCCATTACCATTTTTGCTTAATGAAGTTTAGACTATAACTACAGGTCTTTATTAGATGCTCGTCATAAAAATAAAACTTTTCCTTTATATTACATAAAATATGTATAGAATTTAGATGTAGGTAATTGTACCTGGCAAAAAATAAAGGTACTAAATTGCTATTTTACCCAACAATAATTAATTTAAAAAAATTGATCACAAGAGTATGAATTTCCCAAAGTATTAATGTATGCTATGATAGTTACATGACAAACATAAATACCAACTTTCTCTACATTGTACATGGTTACAAGGGGAAGTTCTATTTCTAACATCATGGGTATAGATAGTAGATCTAGATACCCTAGAGATGCACTGTCCTAAACAATCACTCCTAGTGGCACGTAGCTCCTGATTCTGAAATAACTAGTCTGAGTTCATATGTCCTTTAAGTGCAACTTACATTGAATTTCAAAGACTTAGTACAAAGGAAAATATAAACACTTTTATTAATTAAAAAAAAATTACTGATATTAAGTATTTATTGTATTAAATAAATTATTGAAAACAATTTCACCTGCTTTTTTTTAACTCTTAAATTCTTACTTAAATTTACCCATGACTGGATTAGGTAGCAAGCATTCAAGCCACCAAAGATTAAATACTCTTAATTTATCCTTTAGACAGTGGTCACCAGGGTAGTGGAATCCTGCTTCCTACCCTACTGACTTAACTATATTTTCTTCCCTTTAAGTCAGGCAATGGCATGTTAAAAAGATTAGCTAAGTGTGAGAGAGTGTATAACAAGAAAATTCTGAGATACAGTCTCAATTTTTCTTGCTTTTTGAAATAAGTAACATGTACCCATGTCCCTTAGAGTAAAATGCCTTCTGAAATCGGAAGTGATTAAACATTCTAGTTTTCATTTTTATTCATAGATATTAGTAAAACTTAATTGGAAAACATCATCTTTCCCCTGAAATTTTTAGTTTTTTATTATAAACTTTGTTATAAAGGATACTCATGATAATTGTTTTACTATTCATAATTAATGCCAAATGACCTAGGAGGTCTCAGGCACATGGTGGTAACATGTTGCTAAGGCATGGGTGTGCTAAGTTAACTGCAGGAGCAACTGTCACCGTGTTAGTGAGTGGATTTATTTTCTCCCAAATGTCTACATCTCAATGTTTTACTATATTTTCTATAATAAGCAATTATCTGAATTAAAAGAACTTTGCTTATTTATGAAAAATGCTCAAAATATTTTGTTTAAAATGTGTTAAATTATGGTGTGAGGATATGCAACAAAACTATATCCATTGAAATATAGGTGTGGGGGGAAATACACATTTATATATGTGTATACACATACACATATCTAAATGCTACTCAAACTGTCTCATTAAGATTTAAAATGGATGTTTCCCTTTTGTCAGGTAACCACAATTTGGGATTGTTATCAGCAGATATTTGCCAAACAATAAAATGTATCTGGCAGTATCTAATGTATCTATTCTTCTTAACTATAAATATTGAAAATCTTTGATTCCAAAATAAATCAGTGCACCCCTAGAGCCCTCTTTTTTCATGATTTTTTGTTATTGCAGTCCGGGTATGAGAAAAGTTGCCAGCAAACAATGAAAAAAACAAACAAACAAAAAAAAAAAACAATGGCTTCAAATAAGTAAGCTAAATTATCAATTGACAAAACAAAAACAAAAACACCATGCCACTTAAGTTTGCTTCCTAAATACTATATTGTTTAATGATAGTCACTTCCATTTTTAATGGCTTAACTTCTGTATGTTTGTCACTTTGGCACCTTATGGATAGTGAAGATGTTTATTAAAAAAATGAGTGTTTTTGGTAAAAATACTGAAATATATTTATAATATTTTGTTTCTACTTTGTAGATGTTTATAAATACATATTTTATCTTTGAAATATAAAAATGGTATTTCTATTTTGAAAATGATCAGTTTTTACCAGAAAATCAGTTTGACTAGTAAGCTCAATTAATATCCTAAAATTCCAAATAAAAGTCAAAAAGTTAATAAGCTAATAGATTGGTATACAATCTTATTCCAATGTGCAATCAACTCTTGATTACCTATAGAAATGGAGCACAGTCATGAAAATTATTCATGTCTCCCCTTTATAATTGGAAATGCATCGGAGGAATTTTTCTTGTATTTTCCCCCACTATGTTTGGCTTAAGTTAAATCCAAATCTTAGTATTTCTAATAAGTGTATGAGAGTTTGGTTATTAGGGGGCCTGATGAAATTTAAGGGTAACACTAGCCTTTAGAAGTAAAATGTCATTGAGAAAAGAAGGCAGTAATATGTGAAATAAGTAGCAATGCAAGGTGGCATACTTTTAAATGTCAAAACCAGTAAGATAATAAATGCCACTAGCAAATAAAGAGTGGAATCAATACAGGGCAGACAACCAGAAATGGCACAAAGGAAGTAAACTATACCCAAAAGATTTATTAGGTAGGGTATAGGGTAAGTGGGATGAACAATGTGAGCCAAAGCTTGGGGCTAAGATTTGAATGAAGTAGCTAGAAAACAGTGAAGAAATAGACTTTGCTAGCTGTAAGGTTCAGAATATTGAAGCAAAAGATAAGATTATAACGGTGAGGCAAGAACAAATTTTAGACAGCTTGAATACTTGGCTGAGGCATTTGAGCTTTATTGTAGGCTTTTACAATTCTTAGGAAGCGATGGTGTTGTGTGGGATGTTTCATTAAATACAAATACACTTAACTCCATCTTGCTTTTTAGAAACAATTTCACCAACCTTCTAATTGCCAAGTCAATACTCCAACATCATATTTTTTCATTCTTGTTCCTTTTCAAGCTTCTTTGCTGAGACCACCATCCAGGTCATCACAAACAATATAGATACTGAAGGCTTTATCCTTGATCCCCTTTCATACTGAACAAATGCTTATCCCCTTCTGAAAATATAAAGTTATGGACCATCTCCAAACAAAAGCCACATATATAATATCTTAGGTAGTTTCATAATATTTGGATTCCAAGCTAAGTATTCCTGCTCAAAATGACCTCTGGGCAACCTCTTCATTTCCAATAGTTTTACTTATATGTTGACGACCTCCCCAAATTTTATCTCTGCGACCCAAAATATCCAACAGCCTACTGGATATTCAACAGTTTTTTCTTTCTTTCTTTTTTTTTTTTTTAAAGATTTATTTATTTGTGAATACAGAACTGGGGTACAGGCCAGAGGCTCGGGGGCGGTGAGAGGCTTCACCAGAGACAGAGTGGGGAGCAGAGCAGGCAGATCAACAAAGTACACTGCTGAGGGGAGCAGCGGGCGGGTCAGAAGAGGTCTGCCACGCCATGTGGTCACCTCCGGGGCAGGCGGAAATCGAACTCTTGCAGAGGTGGCTTTTAGCTTCTTAGTGCTGTGCTTTAACCCGCTGTGCCACCAGGGAGGGCCTCAACAGTTTCTTAAATCGGTCTATCTACAGGAAATCACCATGGTTCTTCCTAAACAGATTCATTCCATAATGGGTAATCTAATCTTCCATCTAAGAGGTCAATCTCAATTCCTTTTCCTCAATCCAACCAAATTTTCTTTAGATACTTCTTCATATCTATTTCTATTATTATAGATCTAGTTACTTCAGGTCCTTAATTTCTAAACTAGGTTATTACATTAACCCCATGCACACACCACCCTCTAACAACATTAAAATGATGCTACTAATCATTCCAGGTTTTGTTATACATTTCTGCTGCTCTGTTTACAAAATTCTCTCCAATTAGAATGGTCTCTTCTAATTGCCCAACACTTACTTTACTCATCTTTTTATATGTTAGAAAACCTACTCAACTTTAAGTCTTTCCTGCTTCTCTTGCCCAAGGAGGACTAATCCTATCAAACCTTTTGTTCTCATTTCTAATCTAAACTATAAACTACTTGTGGGAGGAACAGAATCTTAAATCTTTGTAGCACCAGAAAGAAGCACACTTGCCTACAATTTATCTTAGGCTCTGACTAAATGTTTTTAAATGTATAGCAAAAAACAACATAGAGGCAGTATTTTAACTAAATATATTATAACTATATAAATCCTTCAAAGAAAGAAATACAAGGTGTTAGAAATTAACCTAGAGATAGCAATTAATGGCTTTTCAACACTGGTTCTATTACCTGCTGTCTATAGCTGTAGTAGCAAGCACAAAATTTAAAAAAAAAAAATCTATCTTCCCATTAGCTAGCTATTTCTTTTTCTGTAAGTTTTGAAATGATCATAATATTCATAATCAGTAATAACACAGCCTGAACCTGATTTTGAAAATGCCAGTGTTCTGTGGAAGCACAATTTGAGAATATGGTCAATGGGAAGTCTCTGGATTTTCATACCAATAACTGAGTAGGAAATGTTAGACCTGAGTTAAAAGATGCAACACTGACATAACTGAGCCCTATGACCTTGAAGAAGACCCTTCTCAGACCTCTATTTTTCTGATCTCTAAAATTCAGTTTTCATTCTAATGATTTCTATATTACTGGAGTTCCTCTCAAACTACCTGAAGTGTAGCCAGTCTTGTAAGAATATCAATCTAGAGTCTCCCTGGTGGCACAAGGGGTTATGTCTCTGCACTATGAAGCTATCAGCTACTGCAGCACCAGTTCCATCCCTGACTGGCCAAGGAGCAGATCTACATGGTGCAGCAGACCTCTCCTTTCTTGCCCAATGCTCCCTTCAGCTGTGTATTTCATATAGCCACCTGTTTTGCTTCCCACTGTCTCTGGTGAATCCTCTCACCCACCACGCCTCTGGTCTATAACCTAGCCCTTGTATGCATAAGTAAAATAAATATTTAAAAGAAGAGAATATTAATCTAGCGTTAGATGTGGAATATTCTATACATGTCATGTAATATAGTGTTAGTTTTCAATTTTC